AAGATTTAAAAACACATAGACTATAAGAGAGATCAAAATTGCTACATTTTGAACTACCATTGTCACGAACCCTCTGAGATTCGTGTGTTGAGCACTCAATTTAGCGGTGAGATCATCGGTCGAAACAAACACCTTCGACTCAGTGAGTATAAATTCATCCTCGGAGCCAACGTTAGTTCTAGGATCGTAGTGCAAACTTATGCACCAAATGTCTATTTTGATAGACGTGAGGAGAATCCTACGTGCTACAAGATGGAATCTTGAAGATGTAACAATTTTACATTAGACACTATTGTTGGGATATCAATCCAAGTCCCACATCGGAAGTTTAGACAAGAATTTTCTAATATATAAGAGATGTCAAACTCTAATTAGTATMAAACCTTTTGGGAAAGAGTCCAAGAACAAATTCGTGCGGGTTTTGCCTCTTGGACCCAAAGCAGACAATATCATACTAATGGAAGAGTTGGACATGGGCTTGAAAAGCCCCACAAATGGTATCAGAACCTAGGTTCGGAAAAGTGGACCCAGAGAAGTGGGTTAGGCTGCGTGTTCGCTATGGGAGGAGAGCCCTCAAGGTGACCTCGCGATTAAGGGGTGCCGGTGCCTTGTGTTGAAAGTCTTCCTTACTAAGCGGAAGGTTAGGCGAGGCGGCGGATTCCGTTGGTGATTACGGCGGTACAAGATGGGTGACAAGTTTTGCTGGAGGTGGGAGGACACATGTCTATGTGGTCCTTGGTTTTGAGCGGAAGATTGTTGGGATATCAATCCAAATCCCACATCGGAAGTTTAGACAAGAATTGTCTAATATATAAGAGATGTCCAACTCTAATTAGTATGAGGCATTTTGGGAAGGAGCCCAAGAACAAATTCATGCGGGCTTTGCCTCTGGGGCCCAAAACGGACAATATCATACTATTGAGAGAGTTGGACATGGGCTTGAAAAACCCCACAACTATTGCGACAGTGCTGGAGAGAAATTAGTAGGAAGAAGAAGCAAGGGTTGAAGAAGGATACTCATTTTTTTCATTACCGTGTACTCATTTTTTTGTTTGGTCAATCCTTATTACAAAATAATCAATTTTATGTTTTCTGGGGTTTGTAAAATCAATTCAATTTTCGCTATGGTATCCACTATTCAATTCGGGTTCTGTTTTGTAAAATCAAATCAAATCTATAAGGTGAGTGAATTTCCGATTTCTTAGTCATATACATATTGTAGTTGATTTTTATTTTTCTTTAAACTCAACCTAATGATTAATAGCTTAAATTGTTGTTACAATCGGAGACATGTCATTCCTCAACAGATGATGAAGCAACCAAGGGCGAATAAAATAACCAATTTGAATATGAACATAATAACCAAAAAGACTCTCGCTAAATTCTTGGGAAAAGTCGTTGTAAAAGAATCAAGTCAGCGAAAAAAGAGAAACATGTCCAAATCCATATTATTAAATTAATACTAGTGTGCATAATATCAAAATAAAATCTGTACCGAGAGGATCGGATAATGGAAGTAAAATGAATTTAAAATGAATTTGAAATGAACCATAAACAATGGTAAACAAACGAATATGAGAAGTGTGATATATAAAACGTTGCTAAACTTTGTTTATTGCTTTTAAGATTACACAAAAATATATGAAAATTAAATGTTTGAAAATACAAGTTTGAAAACTGAAAATGAGAATTGTGCAGGGAATAGTTTTTAAGAGAGAAGTTTGTTCCTGAAATCGCTTGTGTCTTGAATAAATTTGAGAGTAGCTTTTTATAGAAGAATTGATAGAGGTTTGAATTATTAAAACAAGCTTTGTGTCTTTTTTTCCTTTTTCGTGGTTGATATCTGTTGGATAACCTCTTGTTGAAGTGATACTGTTGAGTCAGGTTTGTCAGACTCTTTTTCGTGTAAAATCTTGATTGGTGCCGTCTGATATTGGTAGAGTAGTGTCTTGTCTTAAGCGTTGATGCTGAATGATGGTTGAATTGCTTTTGATGTGAATGCTTGATAGGTGTGGCCTAGATGTCGGGATATGCAATAATTTACATACATCATACGAAGTGAAATAATTTACATGTAGTAG